ACCCGCGCGCCCGGCCCCGCCCCCGCGCGCGCCGCCGCCGCGTCACGTGGGGCCCGCAGGAGCCAATGGGGAGGGGACAGGCGGTGGAGGGGGCGTGGTCTAGCGTGGGTGTGGGCGGGGCTGGGGAAGGGGCGTGGCTTGTGGGAGTGGGCGGGGTCAAGGGGTGAGGGGAGCGTGAGGGAAGGGGAGAAGGGAGAAGGGAAAAAAGAAAAAGGAAAAGGGAAAGAAATGGAACAGGAGGCGCTGGAGCAGCTCTGCTGTGGAAACAGGCTGAGAGAGCTGGGGTTGTTCAGCCTGCAGAAGAGAAGGCTCCAGAGAGAACTTAGAGCCCCTCACGGTGCCTAAAGGGTCTCCAAGAGAGCTGGAGAGGGACTTTGGACGAAGGGCTGGGGTGACAGGGGAAGCAAGAATTGCCTTAAACCACAGAGGGCAGGTTTAGATGGGATATTAGGGAAAAATCTCTTCCCTGTGAGAGTGGTGAGGCACTAGCATAGGTTGCCCAAAGAAGGAGTGGGTGCCCCATCCCTGGAAGTGTTCAAAACCAGGCTGGATTTGGCTTGGAGCAACCTGGGATAGTGGAAGGTGTCCTAGCCCATGGCAGCGGTTGGAACTGGATGACCTTTGAGGTTGCTTCCAACCCAAAATATTCTGTGATTCTAAGAAGAAAAAAATGAAGATGATGAGGAGGAAGAGAAGGAAGAAGAAGAGGAAGAGAAGGAAGAAGAAGAGGAAGAAGGAAGAAAATGGTGATGACCAGGAGGAAGAGGAGGAAAAGAAGAAATAAGAAGGAAAAGAAAGAAGAAGAAGAGGAAGGAAGAAGATAAATATAAAAAAAGTGACGAGGAAGAGGAGAAAGAAGAGGAAGAAGGAAGAGGGAGAAGAAAGAGAAGAAGAAAAGAAGAAGAAGGAGAAAACAAAGATGACAAAGAGGAAGCTGAGGAAGACAAAGAAGAGCCTGGGGGCAGAGTCAAGGGGACACAGCCCAGGCTGGGCTCAGTACAGCAGTGTCCCCTGTCCTCTGGGGTGAGGTGCCCTTAGTGCCCTGACCCATGAAGGGCAGAGGCTGCCCACTCCTGAGGCTATACAGGATATATTTAACATCTCCCATCAGTGGTTCTGGGTACGTGTGAGGCACAGGGGTCACCCAGTGTGTCACGGGCTCAAGCTGGCACAATTCAGGAGCTGCTGTCACTTTACAGCCAAGGCCCTCACCTCAGGTTGTCAACCTTTGTGTCTACAACCCGTGTCTGGATCTGTGGTGTAATGACCATAAATTCAAAGGAACAGGAACAAAGCACCTGATGCCATTGTAGGTTTTCTTTTATTTCCAACTTGCTGTGGACTCTCTTAGCAGAAATCACCGCAGAGGCAGCCAAGGCCTTCAAAAAATAAAAAGAATAAGAGGGGGCTTGGGGTCACAGGCACAGAGGGATGAGGTGATTCCTCAGGAGACACAAACACGTAGAGATGAATATAGGAGATCCTCAGATGTTATTAAGCATTTTAAGGGTATTTTTACCTCTTTCCTGAAAGGCACGAAACTGGTGTCCTCTGAACCAGAATGGTCTGAGAGTGCTTTATGTTTCTGAGAACATTGTTCAAAGGATGCAGTCCTCCTCTCTGTTTAAGGGATGGCCTGGAAGCAGAGATCATAGAATATCCTCAGTTGGAAGTGACCCACAAGGATCATCAAGTTCAACTCTTGCCCCTGCAGAGGACAACCCCAAAAATCACACCTGAGAGTGTTCTCCAAATGCTTCTTGAGCTGTCAGGCTTGGTGCTGTGACCATTTCCCTGGGGATCCCATTCCAATGCTCAGCCATGCTCTGGGTCAAGAACCTTTCCCTAACATCCAACCTAAACCTCCCCTGACTCAGCTTCAGGCTGTTACACAACACAGCCTTGGCATCCCAACCTGCCAGGACCTACAGCAAATCCTCCAGCAGGAATTGAGAAAGGCTGATCTGGCATATGACTGTTTCAAAAGAGTAAAGGAAATAAGTGAAATTTACCAAATTTTCTTAACGCTTATGAATCTTATGCAATTACAGTGTTGTATGTGTAAATGTGTAAAATGGATCCTTGGACAAAAAATTTGGAATCTGTTGATTGATTTCAAAGGATATTCAAGACATTTGATGTCTGCAAGTTTGAAACACGCTGCTGGATGAAAGGGATTTTCATTCTCTCCTTCCCCTTCCCCTCTCAATGCAGAGCATAAGTTTAACCTTGGTTAAGCATCAGCAAATTCACACCTTGCAAAGCAGTCTGCTGAGAACAGAAAAAAAAACCTGTGACTTCCCTTGCTATTGACATTTAGGTTCTGCTGTCTGACTCCCTGCTACTTTTTCAAAGTGAGAAAATTATCTGGTTTTCACATCAACGTTTTTTTAATGAAAACTCAGAGTGTGACTTTTGGTGGTGCTAAAATCAGTCTGGCAAAGCCCGGGGAAAGCTCTGGGGGGCAGAGGTCCCTCTGCTAACACTGGTGATGGTGGGACCCACAGAGAACTCTGCCTGTGACTGCTTTCTTTAAAACCCAAAAAAACCCCCCGTGAACTGAAACAAACACACAAAAAAATACAAAGAAAAATGTCGCAGTTGCTGCATTTGGTTGGGTATTTTTGGTCAAATCTTTTCTTGTTAGAACAGCATTTCCCTTCCACGGGGATTCCCAGGCACGATGGGGAACTGTGCTTGGCTCTGAGGGAATAAGTTTGTTTTTCTGCATCCTTTATTGTTTGCAAAAACAACAGACCCGCCTTTCTCTCAGACACAGCAAATGTCAGGAATCTGTTTTTATTTAGCGGAGAACCTGAGAGCGGTGGTTGGCAAAGCCGTTCTTTTGCTTCCCATCTGAAATGTCACATGGCAAATTGTAGCGCTCGAGCACAACCTCAGCTTGACAGCTCTGGCAGAAGAAAAAGGGCCAACAGCATGAGGCTCCACCACATTCCCTCAGAAGTGCTGTCAAGCCCAGCTTGATCCCTCTTGCATGGGTGAGGCTGAAGGGTTGCTGTGCCTGGGAGTGTTGCTTCTTGGCCGGGGGTGTAAATTCATGCCAGTTTGCCTGATGCTCTTGGGCACCACAGAACCAGAGAATATCCTGACTAGGGGAGCTTTTGTCCACTTTGAGCTGGAGGGGAAATGGAGGCATTAAAAATTGATGGGCAATGCAACTGGGGAACACCTTCAGGTCTCCTGGCAAGCCTGAATCCATCTTCAGTCAAGCCTCTGCCTTGCTTCTTTGTATTTTAGAAAAACAAGCAAAGAGAAATGTTTCCACAATCAGGTCACAGCCTTAAGAGGATCAAGTAGGCTTCATGTTAGCTGTAATTTCTGAATTTGAATGGATTTTCAGCACAAATATCGACAATCTCCTGTGCACGTGAGCATCCTTGAGCATGTTTTTCAGCCTAATGCACTGAAAAGCAATGTGGAAGGATTGTAACCTCTGCACAGATGCTAATCCCAGCGGGCTGTGTTTGCCTTAGTGTTAGTGGAAAGCTTGGCTATGTTTTAATGTGTGCTTGTCAAAGTGCTTGTATTACAGCTAGGACACTTTCCTGGATCTAGCCCACGCAGCCTCTGTGTTTGCAGAAAGGATAGGCATGCAATCCATACACCTGCTTTGTCTAAATTTCTGTAATTTTTTTTTCCCCTGCCCCTTCTGTCATTTCCATTTCAGCCAAACTCAACTTTTTTCAAGCCAGGACACCATTAACGGTGAACTGATGGAAAAAACAACTCTGCTTTTTGCCACCTGCAGACAGCACTTCTCACAGCCCTACTGTTAGAGGGGGAAGCAGCAGAAAAGTGATAATTCTGGGTTGGAAAGGTTGCAGGAGGAGCCACTCCTCCAGGGTAGGAAGTGAAACATGAATTCTTGAGATGTCAGTGCTGATGTACCAGCACTCATACCTCCTTTCCATCCACTAAATGTTCAAAATGAGCAAGTCCTCTCCTGAATTTCTCAGCCACTGGAGCTTGTGTCTTGACCCTCTACACCAGGTACTTCTGGTCCTTTGGTGATGCAATTATCATCACATCATGTTCCTCTGGGGCTGCAACATCTCAGTGAGGTTTCCTGACTGAGATATCACATTCATGGGCATAACAAGTGACCTGGATTTCTCCAGCCAGCAACTGCTGTGTGTTGACTACTGGTTACTTTTTCTTTCTGGGAGAGATAAAAAAGTTGAAAAATGCAAAAAAACCCACCCCAAAACAACACACCAAAAAACCCAACCCCAAAGCCTTTGTGGTTCTGATTCAATATGATTTTTTAAATTTAGTTTTCCTCCAGTAGAGGCTAAAAATGGAGCACTTAGCTCTTCAAGAAGAGTCATTTAATAGCTAGACCAGCACTTGGAATTCACTTGAAGGCACTGACTAATTCAGCACATGAGCGAAACTGAAGTTCACTCATACGTGGTAACGCCTTTCTTTTTCCCACACTCATCAAAACCTTGCTTGCCTACTTCACAGATTCCCCAGGTATGAATAGCCAGTGAAGGCTTCAGAAGAGAGAGAGCTTGGTCCAGAGACTCCAAGGTTGCACTTGCATGTGAAAGAGATGGGGTGGGCTATGAAGGGAGCTCTACCACCACTGCAGATATCCTGGTTTCTTACAGCTGCCCTCCTACACAGCTGAAGCTCAGTCCTGCTTTCTCAGGCACAGGGCACAGTCCAGGGCTCTCCTCTGGGCTGAGAACATCGTTAAATCCTTGCAGGCACCACAATCTGGAATGGCATTTTAACCACATCAGGGAAGGCGGGATGGGTCTCCCAGGGCAGGGCTCCTTCACATGCGGTCCCTGCGCTACTGGTGGTCCCCAGCGTGCCTGAAGGTGGTCTGCAGGATGATTGCAATTAAGAAAATGAAACCATACACATTGCATTCCCATGCACACGAGCCAGCAATCAGAAAGGACGATGAAGTAACAGTAGCAGA